TCCGAGTAAATTTCAATTACCTAAATATGCTACAATGAATTTTGCTAATTCACCATTCAAAAAGCCTACCGATGTCACACTTGAAGTTTATGAAGGAGCGTGTCATTTTTTTCAAGATGTAAGTTTATTTGACATCAAGAAAAATTTCACATATTTATATATATTCATATATATTTATATATTTTATATTACAATGTTAATAGACAGTTCCTGATGAAAAAATTTCCAAGTTCTCAATAAAACGTTCTTGCGATTTTATTAAGAATCATACACTTAATGAAAGTATTCCAAATGAAGCTGAGAATAAATCTTTTCAAGGTATTCAAAAAACCATTAATTCTATTGCAATTAACCCAAATTGTGATATTAGAGAGTTAGATGATAAATTTCTAGAATGTCTAAACTGGGAAAATATTGGTGTTGTCCCACATCAGAAAACTTTTTTTAGTGCAGCTCTGTAAAGATTTGCAAAAAAATTAATTAATAAATCAAATAAAAATCTGTGCAAAACTTCAAACCTGATAGCTATAAATGCAGAAATTTAATTTTCCCGATGCAGAATTAGAAGTTGACATGTATACAAATATTATTTACAGTATATATATTATAATAAATAAAATTTTTTATTATGTTTAAACAAGGTTCAAAGATATATATTAAGGAAGTTTGAATTACATTATTTATACTGTATATTTTATATATCAAGAGAGTTTATTAATTTATTAATACTAAGGATTAAACTTGTAATTTACAAATTAAATACAAATTGCTTAAATTATTTAATTAATTCATATAAATTTATTTTTCAGTTTTATATAAATAATTAGAGATGAGATTAGAACTGTAAACCATAATCAGGACATCCTCACTAGGGTTCCATCAGACCGAACCAAACTTTGCATTAGGTTTGGTCTGGTTTGAAATTCAAATCAGACCTAAACCCAACCTATTTTTCATTCCCAGTCTGGTTCAGGTTGATTATCAACTTCGGGCTTTAAGTCTAATTCGGACCCAGTCTGAAAGTTTGCGAACATGTTAAGACACGCTTAGGTTTGCCGGAGGTTGTATCAAACCTGGGTCATCTAGTTTTGCAAGTTGCAGCACGTATAATTATATATGCTTTCTCACTAATTGTTTTTTATACAACTTCTTTGCTGAAACAGCAAATGATGTGAACAATTTGGTACTATGGCTAGGTCGCTTCTATAGTTGTTAGACGAAACCTTTTTGCTTGATGACGAAAGTCGAAACCTAATCTCTAAACGACGAAACCTCTGTCGAAAGTCGGAACCTCAAATTCTTCTGACGAAAGTCGAAACCCAAACTTAAAATAACAAAACCCTAGTGCTCCTACTAAAAAAAAAAAAAAAAAAAAAGTGAAAATGAGACTCTGAAAATCTTTGTTTCAACAAAGCTAACAGTTAAGCTATTAATAAAAATAAATCCTGTAAATTTTTATATTACTTCATTTTAGAAAATTGATAATAAATAACATACTATAATTCATGATTCTTACTAACTTCACTTTTTATTGGGACCTGAACAATTCCACTTCATAGACACCATATTTTACCGACAATTATTCACTGTCAAATTTATTTTACCGACAGTCTATTTCACCAAAGCTCATTTCACAGACAAGTAATTCTGGTCATTATCATTAGGTTCAGGTTAAAGTTAAAATTAGTGTAATTTATAAAAAAAACTTTAGTTAAATAAGCTTCAGTGAAATAGACTTTCAGTAAAATAAACTTGTTGATGAATAATTGTCGATGAAATAATATGGATCTCTTTTTATTAAGTTTTTTATTTAACTGGCAAGTACAACAATAATCAAAGATCTGAAAACAATATATGCACCTCTTACTAATTTATTATCTGTCATAGGTTGAACTTCAAATTTTCAACAAGATTTCTGTGAGATATTAGTGGAATATAAAACGGTTATGAAGCTGATAGCTACCCGATATTTGGCGCGTATTACTACCTATCAGATAGCCGATAGGCATATTAGTGATCTGACGCTTCTATTAACAAAATACTAAATATCCGATATCAGTATCAGAAGTCTAATAGGCCTATCGGATGCAACATCTTTTTGATAGGTTGAATACGTGCCAAATATCTGGTCACTATCGGCTTATAAACGTTCGATATTCCGATGATATCTCTCTGAAATCTTATCGAAATTTTAAAGTTCGACCTGTGTGTGCTAATTTGTCTTTTATTCAAGTCAATTTAGCCAATAGACTTAACAATAATTTTTAATCTAAACACTGAAATATGTAAAATAATCTATGTTTATTATTAATTTCTTATTTGTGCTGATTTACTTAATTGATTATTAAGTTTCTTATTAAAATTAATCTAAGTATAAATCGTATATTTTAAATTGCCTTTTATGAACATAAAATGTAGAAAGCCAAGGCGCCTTTACTTAAAATTTTTATAAATTTTCTGTTTTTGTAATTTATTTTTTATTCACATTATCTTCAATGAGTTTCAACAACATTTATCTGTTTCTTCATCTTTTATTAGCTTTGTCACCCTTTGCAGTTTCGTCGGTTTCGTCACCTTTCACCAGTTTTGTCACCTTTCGCTAGTTTTGATACCTTTTGTCAGTTTCGACATTTTATCATTTGAGATTTTGGTTGCTTCTCAATAAAAAAAGTTAAATAACAATTTAATTAATTTAGTGATATGTTATTATGTTGGTGGCAGAATTTAAAAAAGAAAATTTCAATAATGAAAATGATCTGCAATCATTGTTGAAATTTCTTTTTATGAATTCTACTACTAATTATAGTTGTAATATTTTATTAATACATTAAAAAACTTACTTCAACTGAATTTTCATTTAAGTCTCACTGGAGATCGCCAAAGCTAGTCCTGTACTGCCCTCATAAAGTGCCACCAGCACAAAAAAATTTTGCTTTTAGGAAATTCTATTTGGAGTGCTTTTATTTGTGCCAAATCACAATCAACAAGAAAAACTTTAGGACTTTGCCAATCTGGGATTTGCACGTGAAGTGAGACCCAATAAAGAGGCGTAACACTTCCTCTCAATAGACAGTGTGTTCCTGGAGACTCAATGTCACTTGTCCAAAGACTGGTGACAATGGCTTATACTATAATATAAATACATTATTTTTAATGTACATAGCAATAGAATCCTAATAAATTTCTTTAGGCCCTCGCTTACAGGAGGAATTACAGTAAGGCTATCAGTTATACTATTTTTAATGCCAGTTTTAGGGTCCGGTGATAATAATGTGTTTAAAAGATCATTATTATGGTTAGTTCCATGCATGGCATCTAAAAGGATCATTGACTAGAGTGTCCAGACTCATGCGATTTAAAACGCATTTTTATGCGATATACGAAAATTTGAGATGCGATATCAGTGCAAATAAAAATTAGGGGGAATAAGGAGTAGTTCAACATATTTATACATATCAGTGCACAAAATTCTATTGTTAATTGACTTCTGGCGTAGTTTTAAAGTGGCCGGAAATTTTATAATATAA